GGTATCTAAGTGTTGAAATATAAGGATCTGGCAAACTTTATTATGTTCCAGATTAATATTAGCCGCAGACAATAATTCAGCACTTTGTGCAATGTACGACTTTGCATAAACAATTATGCCACCTGGTGGTCTAGTGCTACCTGTACACATGCTACCATCGATTCGACCGAGTATGTCAAAGCCGTCTATATTATATACTTGGCCTTCTCTACTCCAAGTCTCTACGAAACATAAAATATCTGCTGCTTTTATTATAAAATCATTTGAAATGTCTAAACTATGATTATGCAAGCCCTCAATATTATGGAAATATGTCAAAATATTTCCTTCTACTCTCTCAAAATATATCTGATGGTGGGTGGTCAATTTTTTCTCGCCCCGGAGTTTTGCCAACTCAATATAGACGGGGTCGGTAGCTTGTGTTTCTCTAGGCGGATTAAACTTTCCTATAAGGAAAAGCCCAGATGCGTTAGTCGCTCTGCTACAAGCTAGGTATAATGCTGCACGGCTCATGCCATCTTGCAAATGCACTGCAACTTTCTTGTAGGTTACTCCGTGACTCTTGTGGATGGTTATGGCTTCAGCAGGAACCAATGGAAATTGCAAGCGTTCAATTGTTACTTGTTCATTTTTCCTACATTGAAATGTTCTTAAAACTCTTTCTTTGGTGTCCAATCAGAGTGCAAAGGATTTGTTTTTTTTGCTCTTGCTTGCGCTCCCACAGTTGCTTCTGTAAATTTAAGCCAGAGCGTCGAAACTAACACATCAGATACGCTGGCTGTATAGTCAATATGCATAAGCTGTCCACTTGCTCCATTGACCAAACCATCATTGGTATTTATATTGACAGTAATCATATATTTAGCTGTGGTTTTGAGCTTAAGCAGATAGGGAAGGCCTTGGGTTTCGGAAGTCTTGAATGCCTTAATATTTTCTAAAATATTTAGCTTGTTCCTTTCAGATATTGATTTGGTCTTCAGCATATCTTTAGATTTTGAAGTATATTCTTCAATAATAATTTGGCTAAGTCGGATATTATTGTAGTCGCTCGCTTTCTGATTTGAGTAGAACAATCTTATAGCATCGTTGGGAATATTATTTATTTCGGAAGGCAAAACAATTCTCTGTTGAATAAGCAGCTTGTCCGTGTCAGTCATTTTTCCTTCTGACATATTATTTAATGCGATGGCAAAGGCGCAATCCTCACGTTGCCGCATTATTTCGGTCAATTCAAAATATTGAAATAAATCCCAAAGTGGTGCTCCCAAAATTATGCTATATGGGTCTCTCGAGTTTGGAGCAAAAATCCATCTATCGCCAACTGGTGGAAGCTGCTTTAGATCACCAAATGCCAATATTTAAATTCCTCCAAAGTATGTATTATTTCTAAAAATTTGCTTTAGACGGAAATCCAAGTACGACAACATTTTTGCACCCACCATTGAAATTTCATCAATAATAATAAGCTTTAAGTCTATAAGCTTTGAGTGCATAGTGTTGATTGCGTCGTTGCTAAGGGGTCTTAATTCCATTGAATATTGTTTAACAGGCAAAGAGAACACGGAATGGAGAGTGAGTCCACCAATTCCAAAGGCTGCTTTGCCAGTTGGGGCACACAGCAATATCTTTGCAGAATCAGAGTCACAATCAACTCTGGTGTTAAATCTTAAAGTTAGTGACTGATATATAGTTGATATCAGCCTACTTTTTCCAACACCCGCCCCACCTCCAACGTAATCATAAAATGATTGCATAACATTCATATTATGCATAAAGTGAGCGTAATATTGTCGTTGTTTACTGTTAAATGATCGCACCATTAAATTAAGCTCATTTTCTGGAACTTGTGCAGGTAATTTAATCATTCGGATTGCATTTTCATCAGAGTTGCCTTCATGCACATTATCTTCAAATACGTTAATGTTTCGAGCAACTTCTGGTACTGCAAAACCCCTGAATTCTTCATCAAGCAACTGAGATGCTGAAATTTCTTGTCCATCATTATTGTCATTGTTGACTTCTTGGATCTCATCTAAGACTTCTTGAAAATGAGCCTCATCCAAATATTCATATCGTTTTCTATTTGATTCGATGATTTGAAATTGTGCATTGAACGTTTGCTCATAATCGGTGCTAAGAATATCCACTTGCTCATTTCGCCAAGGGAAAAAGAGCATTACAAGTTCTCGAAAATAATCAGATCGGGATATATTTATGCTATACCTTCTCCACCGCAGAATAAGAGAGTGCCTACGTTCTCTCAAAATTCCTGATCTATTTTTGAGTACCATGGGACTCCCGTCATTGGCACTGTCCTCCCGCTCTTCATCATCATTTTCCTCCTTGTAGTCTCCTGTTGAATGGGCATTTAGCGACTTAGAATATTTAAATTTGGCAGCAAAGTCAGCTAGTCCGGTCTTTGAACATAATGATCTAGCAAGTTTGGTAAGAAATAATCTTTTAAACCTGAAGGGAGTGTTTCTAAATCTTTGCGGTCTTTCACTATATCAACCCTTTGAGCAGGATGCGAAGTGTTTACAAAAATCTCGCCATGGCTACATCCTGACATATGGAGCCCAGGGATGTTGTATAAAGCCTCCTGCGCAGATATTTCTGTTCCATTGATGAACTTATTACAGATATATTGTAGTTTTTGTTTAACTGAAATGTTATTACTACTTATCTCGTCCATGGCTTCTCGCAATAATTGGGAAACACGTCTATTCGATTTGTTTATGTAGTTTATTATATAACTACAAGAAGCAAACGCATCTAGTATGTATTGAATATCTATGTTGGCTCTATATAGCTGCAATATATCTTCATTATATGCATTCAACATTTTGTCACAGTATTTTCTACGCAAAAATATTTGCGGCTTTTAAGGACTCGAACTCAGTGCAAATTTATATATATATATATATATATATATATATTATATATACTCCGTATTTATATGTGCAAGAAAACTATCAAAATTATTTAAGCTTAAAGCTTCAGCGTCCCAAACTGAACTATCTAGTAGCTCTTTAATTTTTTCCACATTTCTTGATGCTTTCTCAGATTTTAATCTCGCTCTTCTAGGGGGTATAGTATCTCAGTCTGAGGCATGTGAGGGTATGGCATGTTAAAACGACAAATGTTATGCCTATTTTTTTCTCTTTGGCATGAAGAGCTATATCTGTGCTGTTGGTACTTAATAACCTCTTCCTTTCCGTTTGTTGTAATGAATCTGTCAATAAATTCTATAACTTGACGGCTACTTTGGGAACTATTCTCATTCAGTTTAGGAGCGCTGCTTAGCCAAAACATGCCATGTGAATGTGGCGATCCCCTATGTTGGAATTCAGTTCTCCAATAAAAGTGAGAGAGTTGATACTATCCAAAAATATCTGTTTTAAATAATTTCAACAGCTGCCTAAGCCTATAGTCAAAATATCTTGAGCACATCACAGGATCAGAACGAATTAGTCGAGCTTTTTCAGAACTTGAAAGATTCGCTTCTTCCTCACTTAGGACTCTATTATGAAAAATGAGAGATAGAATGACCAACAGCTCACTCCATTTGGTTTTAGCAGCAGCCAGAGTTATGAAAAAAGTTGGTAGCCCAAACTGACAAATCATTGCCAGCACTTTTTGTCTTCTCAGCTTCCCAATGTGCTGGAGAAGACAAAACCTTCATCTCTCAAGTTACCGACGGTGATATTGGCGTTTCTTGATTTTTTCCGAAGGCAGATAGAAATATAACTTTTTATGCGTGTGAGCTCATAACACTTATACATATACAGAATTTTTGGTACTTTCGCGCATTGACGATAGTAATATCGAATCTGTGATTTGGTCTTTTGAAAATAAGTTGTTATACCCTGAACCTATTAAAAATGGGTATAAGGGTATATTGTATTTGTGCGAAATCCAAATGTATGTAACAGGCAGAAGGAAGCATCTCCGACCCTATAAAGTATATATATTTTTGATCAGCATCAAAAGCCGAGTCGATCTAGCCGTGGCCGTCTGTCTGTCCGTCCGTCCGTCCGTATGTATGAACGCAAGGATCTCAGAACTTATAAGAGCTAGAGACTTGAAATTTTAGATGTAGGTGCTCCTAGCTCCCGCGCAGATCGAGTTTATTTCCGATAATCGATAATTTACTCCGTTTCCATGCAATCGATATCGAAATCCTGTTTTTTGGGCAATTTTGGTAAATAATAAGAGCCAAACTTGACAAATAGCTTTTAAAATAGAATATATATGCATTTCATGTTGGAAGAAGAGGGTTCAGGGTATCCCCTAGTCGGGATCTCCCGACTAGAACCTCTGACTTGTTTTAACTTATTAATGATGCTAATAGTATTTACTTATAGAATTAATTAAAATAGTAATAGAAAGTAGATGATATAAGAGAAATAATTCAAAAACCAAAAACAGTTGGATTTTCCGCTTTCTTTGCGCTTATGCAGTGAATAGCAGTAAATTTACAATAAATTTAGCCTTGCACATGCTGTTTTTTTTTTTTTTTTTACTAATGTGATAAGAATTTCTTGACATACTGTAGATTTAAGAAGATGCGGAATTTCATAGAACCTTTATTATCTCTTATTATTTTCTATTATTTGCTCCATGATCATAGACTACACCCCTGAATGTGCATCCGATATTCTCAGCAGTACTATTATTTCTTAATATTTTATATTTGTTTGAGGAACAAAATAATTTATAATAAATTTATATTTCTTAAAACGAAAACGCAAATGTGACTGCTCATTTTGCTAGAACCTTCAAGTAAATGTTGCAAGCCATCAATAGCATTAACAGAGGAATTGTACGTCAAATTTGTCTTAACTGTAACTTCATCGAATGCATTCCTTGTGGCATATTTACTTCTTCGAACGACCATTCGTTGTTTCCAGGCTGTAGCTTTTTAATGCTATTCCATTTTTGCAAGGAAGATGGACTAGGACTCTTAAAATCTTATATGTTGACGTTGACCAGTAAAATACTCCCTGTGCGAATAGTTTTTCGGAGTCGTTCCATATTAAAACTGTTCCTTTTTTTTCAAAAACATTTAATCAGAATTTGTTCATTTCCTGTAAATAGGGTTTTTAACATGATTTATAACTCTGAGGAAGTGGCGGGTAGGTGGCGATAGGTATACAGAAAGATACTTATTATATATATATATATATATATATATATATAGTGACATATCCATAGTCGCACCCACCCTTTAACATTACTTAGCACATAAGCATAAGCACAAGTTTACACATTTCTAATATTGTAAACAAAGAGCCTGGTGATAACATCGACATTGGTCAAGATCAAACTGTCCCCCTTTGGTAGACATAAACAATTCACCCTAAATATCACGCCACTGTCAATGTTCCCATCAGAGCACTATCCCACGCATAATTGCTGACGCAGCTCAAACTTCACTCAATTTTGACTCAAACTCTCTCAAAGCGAAGTTTGCTAAGCGACCGCAACAGTTAGATAAATCAGTTCATATTCGGGAAGCAAATCTGAATGTACTCAACAAAAGTAGCCGTTAAGTGAAAATAATAAATTGAAATATATTTTTTTTATAGTAACCTAACGTGTAAAACTTAATTGGCGCAGCCGGTAGGATACGTCGGGAAAAAGTAAAGATCGCTAAAGGGTAATTAATTCCCAGATCTATCGCACAATCGCGACCGAAAGTGTTGTCGGAGTGTAATAAACATTTTCTCGAATACGTATCCGCACAAAAACCTTCGGGCCACTAGTAGCCTAATAATATTTACCCTTTGGGCAATAAAGCTACTACAGTTAATAACGACTGGCTTTGCATATCGTTTGATCCCTCCAATACGTTATTACTGGGTCTTTTTAAGACAAAAAAAAAAAACATTTAAAAAATAATCCATCACAAACTATAATCTAAAATAAAAGTGCAAAATCAAAGAACAATAAAGTTCAAACCTACAAACTCAAAACTATTTAAAAACAAAGATTATCATCTAACGAAAAAAAAGTCTATTACACCAAGATGACCATGGAATTATCAGAACAACACCTCAACCAGGCCCTTTCACAACTTAGACAGGTGCCAAGCTTTGACGGATCAACGGATCATCTAAACGCCTTCATTAAAAGGATCGATTACATCCTACACCTGTATCCAACCCGAGATGTTAGACAACACAGCATCTTATACGGAGCCAGCGAATTGCAAGTCACAGGAGATGCTCAGAGAATTTCGCAAAGGACAGCAGCCAACAGTTGGCATTAGCTGAGAAACGCATTGATTGAAGAATACAAAGTGCAGACACCATTTGAAGAACTCCTTCGACGCTTATACAATACGAATTACCAAGGAAACCTCCGTAAGTTCATCGAGGATCGTGAAAATAAATCTTTTGTTATATTAAATAAGTTAGCATTAGAAAATATACCTAGCAATACGACACTTTATACAAATGCTATGAATAGCACAATCAAAGATGTTATTACAAAAAAATTACCAGATAGGCTTTTCATGATGTTAGCCAGATACGACATTACGTCGACACAAAAACTAAAGCAAGTAGCTCAAAGAGAGGGATTATATGAAAATAGCGTTACTGAAAAACCTAAAAATAATAATGTTCAGGGAAATCAAAGTAACAATCGTAGGAACATGGGAAATTATCAGCAAATTGCTAACCCAACCACCATTTCAAGTGGTTATTCCAACACGAATCAGAGTTATTACGCACAAAATAAACAGCACAAAAGGTCCGAAGACAATCAGAAAGCTCACCACGAGTTCCAACAGAAATTAAGTTAAGGTAGATACCAAAATCCCTTAAACTATCAAAATCAGTCCCATTCACGCTTGAATGCACCAAACCCTCCGACTAAACGTCAAAGAGATAGTAACAGTGGGCAGATGAAAATGGATACATCCGGAAATTTTCATCAGCAAGCCTCGGAACAAACAGAAGAAATCCATTCATAAAATTGATAATGAACGACGAAGTTCTTAAATGTGTCATTGACACAGGTTCAACCATAAATCTAATGAAAACAAATCGCTTAAATTTTCCAGTTTACAACGAAACATTAAAGGTTCACACCATAAATGGTGTTATTGAATTAAAACAAAGTATATGATTAGGAGCAAGCAAAATTTGTCCGAGCAAACAAAAATTCTATATTCACGACTTCTCAGAGCATTATGATGTTCTGATTGGGAGAGAATACCTTGAAGCATGTCAAGCAAAAATAGACTTTGCACAAGGATCCGAAACCTTAGGAGAATTTAACTTTTGTTTAAGATATAATGACGAAGAGGTCGAAGAGGACATGACCGCACAAGAGTGCCTTGATCCACCCTCAACAGAGGACAGACCATTTAACTTCGCTATTAATAATGAATTAATAGAAAACAATGAGTTTAGGCTAGAGCACCTAAACTCAGAAGAAAAAGAAAAAATTAAAAAAGTTTTACATGAATTTCATGATATCCAGTACAATTAAACACAAAATTCTAACAAAACATGAGGACCCAATATACAAGCGTCCATACAAATATCCTCAAATATACGATGAGGAAGTAAATAAACAAATAAGCGATATGATAAAACAAAATATCATACGTAAATCCAAATCCCTTACTGCTCACCAGTAATAATCGTTCCAAAGAAAAACGATGCATATGGAAAGCAAAAGTTCCGATTAGTCATAGATTACCGCAATTTCAATGAATTAACTATTAATGACAAATACCCTATCCCGATCATGGATGAAATATTAGACAAACTTGGAAAATGTCAATATTTCACAACCATTGATCTAGCCAAAGGCTTCCACCAAATCCAAATGGACCCTGGTTCAATACCCAAGACCGCATTTTCGACTAAACATGGCCATTACGAGTACACTCGCATGCCGACTCAATTTTAATATACCCTAACTTCGAAAAACCCTTTTTCATTAACTACAGACGCGAGTAATAGGCAATAGGGGCCGTCCTTTCGCAAGAGCATAAGCCTATATGCTATGCCAGTAGAATTCTCAATGAGCATGAGTTAAATTATTCAACGATTGAAAAAGAATTCTTAGCAATCGTTTGGGCCACTAAATACTTTAGGTCTTTGGTCGACAATTTCAAATCCTTAGTGATCACAGACCACTCGTCTGGTTAAATAACATGAAAGAACCTAACATGAAATTACAAAGATGGAAAATCAAGCTTAATGAGTTTGATTTCCAAATTAAATACGTCCCAGGAAAAGAAAATTATATGGCAGATGCTCTGTCCAGAATTCAATTAAGCGAAAACTTCTTAGGCGAAGATACAATTAGCACAAAAGCAACAATACATAGTGCTCAAGAAGACAACAGTAACCATTTACAAATCACAGAAAGACCACTTAATCATTATAATCGACAAATAGAATTTGAAAAAGGAACTGAGAACGAAACAAAAGTTACGAATTACTTTCACAAAACCAACATAAAACTTACGTACAAAGACATGACTAACCTGCATGCCAAAGAATTAATAAAAGATAAAACAACGAATCAGATTTTCCAATTTTTCAAGAAGCCTACTTAGAAATAATAAGTCCGAATAATTCAACAAAGGCAATGAAAACTAGTACAAAATTAATAGACCTTCAAACATACGCAGAATTCAAAGAATTAATATTAAAGAAGTACAAAGAATTATTACATCCAGGAATTGAAAATACTATCAATTGGTTCAAAGAAACCCACTATTTCCCAGATTATCAAAATTTAATTCAAAATCTAATAAATAAATATGAGATCTGCCACATCGCAAAAACAGAACACAGAGATACAAAATTAACTTTCGAAATAACTCCGGAAATCGCTGATATTCGAGAAAAATATGTAATGGATTTTTACATAGTAGGAGATAAACAATTTTTATCTTGCATTGATATCTATTCAAAATTTGCATCATTAGCTATATTACAAGTGTTCAACCAAATGGGTAAACCCATCGAAATAAAAGCAGACAAAGACTCAGCTTTTATGTGCACAGCTTTACAATTATGGCTAAAATCAGAAGCAGTAAATAACCACTAGTAAAAATGGTATATCCGACGTAGAACGATTTCATAAGACAGTTAGTGAAAAATTAAGAATCATTAACAGCGACTCAGACGTCGAATATAAACTTACAAAATTTAAAACAATACTCTACACGTACAATCATAAAACAAAGCACAAAACGACTAACCGAACACCAGCGGACATATTCATATACGCAGGTACACCAGAGTATGACACTCAAGCTAATATGGAAAAACTAATAAATAACCTCAACAAAAAACGAACAAATTATGAAATTGACACTAGATACAAGCATTCACCATTAGTTAAATCAAAGACGACAACCCCGTTCAAGAAAACAGGAGTACCAAGACAAATCGACGACAAACATTTTGAGGAAACTAACAGAGGCAGGAAAATAACCCATTACAAAACCAAATTCAAAAAGAAAAAGAAGACTAATCAAAGCAAATATATATATAATATATTACAGGTCAACAACAGACAGCGATCAAAACATACAAGCACCAGCTTAAACTAATTAATAATGAATGTTTCACAGAAATATTAAACCAAATAACATCAGAATGTAGTTATACTAAAATTTTGCAAAATTTTCAAATCAACTACGTAGAACCAAATATAATTTTAACTTGGAATTTACCAAAAACTATATTAAATCATAATTGTATAAATAACGAAATAACAATAGAAGGAAACAATATAATAAAAATCTTTAATTGTTCACTGCAAATTAATGAAATTTCAATTTCAAACAATATGTTAGATTATACTCAAAGCATTTACGTAAGCAATGATGTTATAAAATTAGAACCACTTTCGTTTGTACAAACGAAACAAATTATAAATGAACATACAAAATTTAACAATGTATTTCAGATAATTACAATAACCATATTTGTAATCATATTAATAAGTTTAACACTGTATTTGACATATAAGTTCAAAAGCATACCTAAGAAATTAATTATAAAATATAAAAAACCCAAAGTAGAAGAAAGACCTACAATAATAGGAGATACACCAATTGTAAAAAAAGAAAATGTTACACTATATCCAAACTTAAACACATGAGGACAGGCACTTTTCTAATGGTTGGGGGAGTGACATATCCATAGTCGCACCCACCCTTTAACATAACTTATTAGCAACAGTTAGATAAATCAGTTCATATTCGGGAAGCAAATCTGAATGTACTCAACAAAAGTAGCCATTAAGTGAAAATAATAAATTGAAATATATTTTTTTATAGTAACCTAACGTGTAAAACTTAATATTCTACAAGCAACTTATCAAGTTTAGTGTCTCTAGCTCTTAATATTTACCCAATTTGCTCAAAAAAAAAGGATGTCGAAACCGATTTTTTTCGATTGCTTGGAAACGGAGTAAGTTATCGATTATCGGAAACAAACTCGATCTGCGATACCAGATTTAGGCAGGTGTAGCACCAGCGATTCTCATCATTTCCACGAAATCTGGTCGAAGACCTGTCGGTTGAGAGGGAGCGGGCTTATCAAGTCACGAGATGATAGCTCAGCGCAGTCACTGTTTATGCCTGTTGCGCGGCAATGGCAAGCTTTCTATCGGTCACTAATCTGTTCGTATTAGTGGGCGGATTAAAAGCTCGCTCGCGAAAGACTTAGAGCTCTCGCGTACTCGGATAATAAAATTATTAGAACTAACCTTTTGCAGTTTGACTCGCGCAAAACCACCGGCAAGTGTTGACTGGCATTTACTGTTTCTTTAAAATTTAAATTTAGTACTGCACTTGAGCTGCCAGCGGCAGCATTCGTACTTCGAAGAACCACCGTTTAAGGGGTTTGTATTAGGTGCCCTGGGCCGGAAGAGGTAAGTGTCTCTTTCGCTTTAATAAAGGAATTGTTTTAACCACCACACTATCACAGACGCCCACGGGAGCAGATATGCTAACATCCGATCGTCACAATAGCTTTCATTAAACCAAAGGGGAACAGTAAGTTTGGACCCATAAACGAACACTGTTTAATTATTCCAAACCCCGACGGTCCCATTGATCAGGTTACAACTGAAGGAGAATGTTTTGGACGCGAATATGTCATAAGCTCCTCGAGCAATACACTGAGAAAAGTCAAAGTAATGGACAGACGATCGCATTTAATAATAAACTGACAGAGGAGCCATTTGGATCAAAAGCTCTTTTTTAAGATTTACAAAACTTTAATTTCTACAGCGACTTCTGCCGATGCTAAAAATTCAATGCCAACATTTTCCATACTAACCAACAACAAAAAGAGTCAGTACAAACGTTTCGACAATGAACAACGCACACCACAAATTCTGTCCTTGCCATCTCTCTTTGGATTGAGGCTAGCTTCTGCACCCTTCTAACTCATTGCTGTAGTTTCTTAGCACTATGCTTTGCCTTAAACTTTCGCTGTCAGAAAGTCATGTCTTCTGCTTCACTCGCAAGCAGCACGGAAGATTTTTATCATTTTTCATTTTTTGACAAGCAGGCACCCTTTCTCAAAACAGGGTATTTTACCTATTGTTAAGAGCTGTTACCAAATACCACTTGTCTTCTATATGCATATTTGTCTCCAATGTCTATGAAAAATATAATTTCGTATTTAGTGTGCAACTATTGGTACAATTATTATTAATTTTTTTTCTTTAACCATATGCCATTTCTATAAATAAGGGTGTTAATGCTTTTTGTTGTATGTTGTGATTAAATTATTTTTTATTCAAATTATATATCACAAAGTTGCCGCTCGAATTAGCTACCGCTGCCAAATCGGTACCCTGGAAACGCCGCGAAGAGGACATTATAATTAGAATGAGGTCAGAACTTGACCTTCGGGTCAACTTGAAATGCTTTTATTTTTTAAATTAAAATATTTCCATATTCCCCAACAATGTTATCTAACTATAGTAGTTATTTCTTTTAGTTCTGGCATATATCTGTATATTTGTTTTGTACCATGTTCATTTATGTAAAAGTTTAATCAATTTTGCTTTATTTTTATAGCTATCTTTCATCTTTGTCCATTTAAAATGTTCAAATAGTAAATCTCTAATAAGTTTGTCCAAATTTAATATTTTGTGGGCGAAACATGAATAATTTTCATCTAAGCACGATAATTAAACACTTTCTTTAGTGCACTTTATACATTGCTCTATAATAGCCTCTGTCCACTGGTTTAAGAAATGTTACATTTCAATGTCACATATTGGTGTTCCATCGGTTGAAGGTAACATGTGAGTGACGAAAGTACCGCTTTTTAAAATAAGCAATTACATAAGCGCCGTAATGTTTTTCATCCAAATCTCAAAAATTGCGCTCTCGAAGTAAGGGCTTCCTTAATTACTCTTTTCAAAATTTCGCCAGGCTTAAATTCTAAAATCTGCGGGATTACTCTGATTCTAAATTTCTTATTTAATGTTGCTGCTTGCCTTCGTTGATATATCAGCTGTTTATGTTTACGATACCTTACCATTTTTCACAACATCGATAGAAATCTCGATTAATCATCGCAAAAAACACGAAATGTTCGGGGCGAATTTACACATTTCTGAAAAATGTTCCTTTTTTGAAAGATGTTTGAAATGTGTTTTCTTATGGGAAAACGCACAGGGCGCATTTTACATATTTGTCAAAAATGTGACATTTTCTGAAATGTGCCAGAAATGTGTTTAGTGGACAGTGGCTACAATGCATTTTGTTGCGTTGCATCTTATTAGTAGAAAATATATTTTCAAACCCTTTATGTGAATTTAGCTAACATCAAAGAATAAATCTGATGGATCTTAAGTTTCTAAAGTCCGTGTCGTTCGAGATATTATTTGTTCTGCAACTGCTGTTAAAAATTCACTATTTTTAATAAGGTACGTTTGGAAATTTTCGCAAATTGATTCCTTTGCAATATGCCTACAAAATATCTACTTGATGTCAACTCAATCCGTCAAGCATTTGTTAACATATTATCCATATGTTCGTTAAAATAGGTTTCATTACATTTTATAATTTGTGATAATAACACTGAAAATGCATTGTCACGCATTTCCTTATTTTCATTATTTTCGTAAGGTACATATATTATAGAATCGAATTCAACAGGCATCATAACATCATCATCAGACTCGATATTCGAATTGGTAAAATGAAAAATATTTAATGAAATTAATTTTGCTATAATGATGTTGAATTCATAAAGTGATGTGTTCTATAAATATATTTTTATTCTTCTTAAGTATACTTTCTTTTCCAAACTATATTATCTTTTTGAACTGCACTTGTTGTGTTCATTAACTTTTTCAACAAAAGAAGCGGGTGGGTCAGCCACTTCGGGCGCTTCGATGCAATTGCTTGTTTCTATACCCTGAACCCATTAAAAATGGGTATAAGGGTATATTGTATTTGTGCAAAATCCAAATGTATGTAACAGGCAGAAGGAAGCATCTCCGACCCCATAAGGTATATATATTCTCGATCAGCACCAATAGCCG